ATAAAATGGAGTACTACTCAGCCATAAAAAATGAGAAATTAGAGACATTTATAGCTAAGTGGATGCACATTGAGGCGATACTTTTAAGTGAAATAACTAGGACACACATGTGTAAATGCCAAATAGTTTCTCTAGTGTGAGAAACTGAAAGTATAAATAAGGACTAAAAGGTATACTAGATAATGTGAAATAGGAAGAAAAGGGGCAAAGGGGAAGGGGAAGTGGGAGGAGGAGGAGAAAGGAAAGAAGGGAATGGAATTAGTATGAGAAAAAGAAAAAATGGAAACAAAGTCTTTGTAAATAGGGAGGGATTGAGGGGTTGAAGGGAGGGCAGAGGAATGGGGAAAAAATAAGAACCAAGAGAGATTATGTAAAGGTGCAAATTTCCAATGATGAATGTCATTTTACTGTATATCTAAAATGTACCAATAAAATTAATTTAAAATTTTTTTTCACTTAAAGTCTTCTGATCCTCTGCTATAATTGAAATAGGTCAGGGTCTTTGATACTAACAACCATGCTTACATGGAGTATTTTTAGTGGCTTTGGAAGGCTGCCGGATGATTTTTATCCATCTCGGATTTCCCTGGTTCCTTCTGGAGGAGATTCTAAAAGCTAAACATGTTTGATGGAGTAGCTTCATTGCCTAAACAATAGGAATACTTTTTCTGGAGAGAAAATTGTATTGCCTGTAAGAGTTCTCCTGCTGTTACATTGACAAATACAAAAATTATTTTCAAAAAAGTAAAATCTTTGAGGTATTTATTTTGGTACAGTTCAGTTGATGAAAAGGAATTTGTTCTGTTTTAACTCCTTCCCATTCCTGTTCAGTAAAATTATCTAATTCATAAGAGTAATTCAAGCCCACAAAAATTCAGAAATAATCCTTAAAGGTCTCAGTACTTTTGCATGTAGCATAGCACTGGAGAGATGCAGGATGTAGTGGCTAGACCTTGCATTATGTCCCAACTCGAAACCCATTAACTGTGTGGCTCTGGTCAAATTAACCTCTGGACGCTTTGGGTTTTGTCATTGGATGGTAATATCTACTTCATAGAGTTACACTGAAAATTTTAAATGTGTATGAATGACTTCTCTTTATTCCTGGCACAGAGACAATACTCATTCAGTATTACTTGTCTTTCAAAATATATCATTAAATTTTTTTAAGAGTGAAAAATGAGAGCAAAATATTTAGGAAAATTGTTAAATAGCTCATGGTTTATCTACTTGATGCAAAACTGCATTCCACTATAGTGTGAACATATAATGACATAGAAAATATTAAAATATTGGTTGAGAAAATAGAATATCTACCTAAAATATCTGTAAATTTAATCTTCAAGTTGATACAAAAATTATCATAATAAATAATAGATTTAACTATTTATTTTTACTGCACAGTGCTGTGAATTTACTTTCTTATAATGTGTTCTTATTAAAATACCAAGTGAAACATGCCAAAAAGTACTTTTCTAATTTGACTTAAAGATTTGAGGAAAAAATTTTAATGATATTACTAAAACAGATAATCAATTAACCTGTAATCTATGGGTCAGTGGTAATGCAAACCCTAATGGAAATAGCTCTGAACTAGAAACAAGGAAACCAGGCCCACATTTGTCAGTTTTACCTCAGAACTTGGTATAAGTTCCTAGTCCTCACTTTAGCCCTTTTCTTATTTCTTAAAGCCCTTGGGAAGATATAACTGGGTAATATTTTCAGTGAGGTCCAAAATGTTTTAAGGATGTTATTGATTTGGGCAGTGAAGTATAGCCTCCAGGTAAATTCTGCAAGATGCTTCAGCAGACACACATACCCGCCTTCCTATTAGCACAACCTCTGTTTGGCAGATGGATTCCATTCCATATAGAAAGGAATAGGTGGTTCATTCTGTTTCAGAAGTCAGTAAGCTTTTGCAAAACTAAGTAATTGACATTTTTCTCATTTCAAAGATCAAATTTTCATAAATCATTCAACCTGGATAAACTGAGAATGTGGTTGATCTAGCAATACTTGAAATATAGTAGAGGCATTTCAAAACATGATATTTAAGTATTTCCTCCTAACCTCTTACTTTAGTAAGATATGAGTTCTAAACGGAAAGATGTCCCAATGTATAAAAAGGAAATAAAAGTAAGATGAGCCTATCTATAGAGAAGAAGCCAAAAGAAGCACAACAGATACATAGATTCATCGGTGATTTAGCATTCCATTAATTCTGAATTTCTGGCAATAGTAATAATAACTATACAAAGTAGAATTTATTTTTATATTGTGAGGAAGTTTGTTAATAATGTAAGTGATATTATTGAGGAGGAATACATTTAACCAACCTGAAAGCAACATTTTCTGATTCTTGTGCAAAGAAATGCTATTAATGGCTTTTCAGGATTTCTCCTCAGAAGCATTTGTTAACAATTTAAGTTGCTATCAAAGTTTAACAGAAAATTTACTGTGTAAATTTATACTATATTATTCACACTAAAATTTTTACCACCCTCCATAATTCAAATTAATAAAACTTTACCTAAAAGAATTCACATATTCCATGAATCATACTAATATAAGATGGTACTAGGGGGTTTTTTTTGGGGGGGGGTGTTTTTTTGGTACTAGTTTCCAACCACTAGACAAAGCTCAACTAGCATAGACTAATCTGTGAATGCAATGAATTTTCTTAAGAATGTTCCAGGTCAGATACTTGTACCTCTAGACTGTTTTGTGGATATATAATAATAAATTTAGGCAAGATATACCTTTTTATTCTAAGATTATTGCTACATTTCTTAAAGAGTTTTATGCATTGAAATATTTTGTTTTACCAGAATTCTTTCTACATGCAGGTTTTGCCAATAAACTTGGGCTAGTTTTTAGAGTTGTGTGCAGTTAATTTGTCCATTCCTTCCTGCAACTCCCAAATAGTCTAAACGAGTGTGTAGGACACTAAGGATACCTTCATTCCTTTGGTGTCTAGCTCTGTGCTGTGTTTATTTGCAAAGGACTGTCATGCATGGATCCATATAAATGAGGCAAACTGTGGAGCAGACTAGACTGCCGCTCACCAGTCTTTGAGGAGGGGAGATTGTATATATGAAAACTGCTGGGCATGATTTTCACTAGGAAGGAAGATTTGTCTGTGTGTAACATCAAGAGAGACTTTCAGTTGAGGTTTTATGCTTTCAGTACAGAAAATGAAAGAAGAAAGCCAGTTAATGGTCTGATTCCATCATCTTTTGTTAAGGAAAACTCTCCCTGATCCACATGAATGTGATCTCCCACCCAGAGAGTAGCCTAAGAGCACTGCAGAGCACACTTCTGAACTTTTGACTCTATAACATTCATGGAGTTTTAGTTTCAAAAAAACGAAAAACACTTTTCTTTGAGTATAAAATCTTTATAGTAATTTCTGTCCTGTACTACTCAGAAATAAAGTTTTTTTTAATGTAGTACAGAATGTCTGCTTTATATTATCATTTGCATATATTTAAATTATTACAGTGTCACTGGAACATGAAATTTTTCCTATCTAATTCCTATTTTCAGTTTCATCAACTGACTCTGAAAAAGAATAAAATGTAATGCATAAGAGTTGTTCAGCATACCAGCTAATGTGTCACTTGCTTAGCTGTGTAACAAGTACGATTGCTAATATTTCTGTATTAAAATATGTGGTTCTCTTATGAAAATGCAGTTTGAAGTTGATCTATACTTAATATGCTATTTTGTCACTGCACTGTAAATGGTTTATTCACAATCTTTATGCAAGGAGGTAAATTATTTAAATGAGTATCCTATATTGTTTTGTGTAGCATCTAACATTGATGTAATATGAGTTAAAGTTTATGTTGTTGCTGTTTTTTAAATCCCAAATCCTTGAGTATTCTGTATGAAGAATATCTCTCGCTTACGATATTGCTTTGTTCCTTAACATGACTACCAACACTGCTTGGTCACAGGCAAATACTGTCCTTTTTCTGACAATACTTGTACTTTTCTTCTCCCCTGCCCTGCTCCCTTTTCCCAATCTAGGTTGGAAAGGCTGGTGGATGTCCTGAGGAAGAAGGTTGGAACAGGGACTATGAGGACAGTGATCTGACTGAGAAAACGACAGTCTGGGGGAAGCAATCACATCTGGTGACCAGGCTGCTTCATTCAACACTGTGTAAACACTAAAAGCCTTAACTCAGCAAACAGTTGTTAGAAGTGGGACACTCCAACCACATTCCAGGCTGAGATAAAATCAAATCACAAATGTTTAACCACTTTGCTGCTGACTTGAGTTACTTATCCAAATATATTAACTTTTACCAATGGGTAGCTATAAGGTTGCAGTTTATTTTTTAACTATTTTATATCTCAATGTGTTTAATATAAATCTTTGTACTATAAGACCACTATAGAAATATAGTGAAGTTGGTCAGGATCACAACTTCACATATGGTACTTTCTGAATCAAAGTGCAGCAAAGTCAATATTGTCTAAGCCTTAATCCACTGTGTTAGGTCAAAACTTCAAATAAATGCAATTTCCAATATAGAGTATATTTCTTAGCTGATGAGAAAGACTCAGACACGAGAGTGTGTAGTCTTCCATATGTATGTAATCTTTCTTCGTATTAAATGCTGTTAAGTAGAGTTGCCATGGAATAAATGTATAATTTGCTTTAATAGGAGTTTAGTATGTTAAAATTACATTCAAGTCATGATTTTCATTTCACTCAAATATAATGCAAACTGTTTTCAATAAAAAAGATTGTTAATGTGCACTTATAAATTCATATTGTTAGTATTTTTGTAATGTTGAGCCTGGGTAATTATCTAAGCTCCACTTAAGGTGAAGAAATTGCCAAGTTTCTGTCAAATAGTCTGGAACTCTTTGGGCTTGAAAATTAGCATGTGCCAGTACGTCTGTATCCTAAAAGGCAAGAAGTCATCAAATCTGTTAATTATTTTTATTTATTATCTTTTTTTAGATTTGAATTTTTGTTGTGGAGAAAGAGAATACAATATATAATACACCATAAAATTGTAATCTACAATGTAAGGACTTAGGAAAGAGTAAACCTGCAATTTGGTTCAGGTTACCTAGTTTTTTATTTTATTGAAGAGGTAACTTAAAGTAGTTAAAGCTTATAATAATATGAATAAAACTGAGATGTTATATATTTTGCTATACAAAGAATTCTTTGCTTTTTTAGATGGATTAGGTGAGAGGCCAATAGAAAATGACTATGCCTGGAGCAGGCTGAAATAGACAAGCAGAGACTGAATTAGTGAAAATGTTTAGGCAAATGAAAATTTTTGTAAGTCTATACATTTTTAATTCATCTTTAAGATTACATTATCCACAATTGCCTATTTTCAGGGTAAGTGTATTAAGGATAATTTATTGTATTATTCTTTTGTATACTATTAGAAATTATCTATTTTGTTTTTACTTTGCAGTAAAAATTTGAGGTGCTGTATCACAAGTGACAAAAGATGAACAATACATGCTTTTTCTTCCCTATTAAAACTGTACCCATTAGGGCCAGGGATTTAGCTCAGTGGTTCCGCCGCCTGCCTCACAAGTACAAGGACCCAAGTTCGATCCCTGGTGCCAAAAAAAAAAAAATGTATCAAACTAAGTGGCAGTTAGAATCATCTCTCTGGATTCAAATTTGGAATTTACTCATGTTGCCCGTTTTTAATGATATTTTTTAATGTGAGAATTAGAAAGTAAGGAATAACATGGGTTAAAAATAAATACTGGATTTGCTATCTAATCCTATAGATTAGCCTCTCATACACCAGTGACAGTTTAAATATAGAAATTTATAATACCTTAGTCATGCATGAAGTCTTGTCTCTGAGCTGTAATTGTAATTCATAACAGTTCCCTATGTGCAGAAATAGTTCCTTTTAAGCCTCCTGAAGATGGAGGTAAGTAAAGAGAAACAGTTCTTCTTACAAAATAGTCCATTCCTGAACCCTCTTAAAATGAATGACAAGTAAACTTGAATTTTCAATTTAGTCTTGAAAAATAGCTAACTTTTCTTGAGTTGTCTAGGATTTTAGAACACATAAAGTGCAATATAAAAACACTTTATAATTTCCAAACATCTCTTCCTACACAGAATTGATCAGATTAGAACAACTGATTCATGTAATCAATATGGAAAACTTTTATAGACTATGATATTATAAAGTAAAACTTATAATTCTAACATCTAACATTCTTCAGTGTAATCTCCCAAAATATACCCCATCTTCCTGAAACATGAGTTGTCTATAAAATTACAAATCCAAACTATTACTACCATATATTGATTTAATTGCTTTCTTACATTTAAAAATATCCACCAACATTATTTCAAATACTGTAGTCTTTTTTTTTCTTTGTATGAAGAAATAACCTTACTGAAAATCAGTTAGCCACCTATTCAGTAATAGTGCAGCTTCAGAAGTGGTCTGCTTTGCTCAGAGATGTTGCTTTCAGTTTGCTTTAAATCATCAAGTCACATTCCTATAGTAACATAAGAATCCATTTCTTGTAAAAAAAACAAAAATTAAGTAGTTCAGAGGAAAGACAGAAAAAGGCAACACTAACATCTGTAACAATTGATTTACAAAGTTGTTTCATATCTCTTTAAAAATTAGATCCTATGAACAACCATATAATAGTAATAAAAAATTATATAAACTATATAATAGTAATTTTGAGGATTTTAGTATTAGTATTATTGTTATTATTATTATTACATTCATTCTGTAGATAAGGAAACAAACTCAGAGCATCTTGCTCTCAAGTGACTTATTTTGGCACTGTTTTAAAAACTGAACTACCTTGCTTTGGACTATTTTTAATTATACCTAATGCTAAAACCTGACAGTGCAGCTTTATAAAATGGTATTCTAATCTTCAAGGCTCACTCTACCTCCTAGAGTAACTGTTAGAGATTTAAAAGAAAGTTATAAGCCAAGTTATTGCCTATTGACAAGGCAGTTACACCACTTATTAAATATTAATATGTGAGGGTTCTCATTCTACTTTTATAAATATGTCATTATGTATAAAGGTATTTGAAACAGTTAAAGTGCTTTATAGAATAAGTTATATACTTTTTTCAATGATGAATTAATCCTTTGTATATGTCTTCTCCCAAAAACTGAAGAGGGCAGGTGTAGCTCAGTGACAAAATGCATGCTTAGCGTGCATGGGAACCTAGGTTTCATCCTCAGTACCACAAATAAGTAATTAAATAAACAAACTGAAGAATCTTTTTATTAGGTCACTTACTGATAGAATGTTTATTTCACAAATAAATTAGAATTATTAAGGATTTGCAGTTTTAATAATGCATAGAGTTGTGTAAGAATGCACTTTAACATGTAGTATTTTTAAAGATCATAATTATTTCAGTTTTCCATTTCAAATACTTATGATTAATAAGGCATATATGATTTTTTACAAGGCATGACAAATTTTATCTTATCACCTGTGGTTTGTATGGAATCCCAATTTTTCAGACATTATTATGTTCTTGGTAATTATTATTTACAGCTAACCTACCTATCTATTCATACCTACATACCCACACAGACACACAAATGTAATTTGCCTTTTTAAAACATTGATTTGTAAATCAACTGTTAGGCTTCAGTGATTTCAGCATTTTGTTTGTGTTTTATTGAAAATGCACATGGTTTCTGAGGCTTTTAAACAAATACATGAAATGGTTGAAAGATTTATATTGCTTGTACTTAGCTAAATATGTCATCTCTAGAAAAGATGTGGCTTATTTTGGCACAGCTTTAAAAAGTCAAATATTTTAAAAATTTGTTAAGTTGGAGCTTGCATATTTGACCTAGTAGCATACGTTCCAGAATAGCATCTCAAGTTACAAAACTTTTGTAATCCTTTTACTAGAATAAGTTTTTTGAAGAGGTTTTTATTTCTTTTTTGTTATGTACTATGTTAAATTTATAAAGGTTGACATTACTTTTTAAAGTAGGACTTCAGAAATAGAATTTAGTAATGATAAATGTGTATATTTGAGAACCATTAACACATTATATACTATCGATATTCTTTTACAGAAGTCTGAATATACTTATTTTTAATTTTATTGTTTTCTAAATATTCTTTTGGAGTATGCTATCATTTTGGAAGCCCCAACTTTCTTTCTTATCTGATTATTAACAAAGATGTATTTAATGCACAAATTGAAATATGCAAAATATGTATTTACTTTTTATTCTCAAAAAATTCCCTATTGCAAATCCTACATGTTTGAATCCAATTCTTAAACATTGATCTTTATCAAGTTTATAAGTGTACAGTCCTGAAGATACTGTTCTGGATATATTCCCTATAAAGTGTATTTCAGTAAGGAAACAGATTAAATTACCCATTAAACTGTGTATGCTTTCCTTAATAAAGATAAAAAGTCAATATGAGCAAATTTGTTTGGTACCTTAGGAACCTTTTAAAACTATTTAGATATAAAATAAAAGTATAGTAATAGAATATTAAAGGGAAATATTATTTTAATAAATATAATTAGAATGAACCTAAAAAGAAAATCAAATTATTTTAATTAAAAGATAATAGGACACACGTTTAAATACCGAATAGTTTCTATAAGTGTGAGAAACTGAAAGTGTAAATAAGGATTAAAACGAATAATTGATCATTGGAAATAGGAAGAAAAGGTCCGAAGGAGTAGGGGAAGTGGGAGGGGAAGGGGAAAGGAAAGGAGGGAAAGGAAAAATTACAAGAAAAGAAAAAAAATGGAAACAAAGTCTGTGTAAATAGGGAAGGGTGGAGGGGGTGAAGGGCGCTCAGGGAATGGGGAAAAAGTAAGAACCAAGATACATCATGTACAAGTACAAGCACCCAATGATAAATGTAAATGTATTGTATACCTAAAATTGTGTACCTAAAATGTACCGATAAAAGAATTTGAGCAAATAATAATAATAAGGCCGGGGATTTAGCTCAATGGTTCCCCCGCCTTCCTCGCAAGCACAAGGTCCTGAGTTCGATCCCTGGTACAAAAAAAAAAAGATAATACATTGATCCAAATCTACTACAGAGTACTGCTACTAATTTTTGAATATGTATTAGAATTTTGTGTAACGAAGAATTGAAATCTAAAATCTCTGATTCTGCTGTGTTTGATTATTGAATCGGGATTAGATAAAACAGGCTATGTAACATAATATGTAGTAAAAAGAAAATTTAAAGCTTAAGAGGACTTGGCTGGGACTGAACAAAGATTCTATAAATGGATAGTGTCAAAACTGTCACATAACTATATTTTTTAAAAACTGTGGTCTCCATGTTGTGTAACACCGTGTTTCTTCACCAAGCCCTTCGTGATATTGCTGTGATCTATTTTACTTCTGCATTTGCATACAATGTTCACATCGTTACTGTTTTTAAACAGTCAAATATTTTAGGAAGCTTTTTGAAGTAAAAATGAAGTAAAGTATTTTATATTTACCCATGTGTTTACCATTTCCACTGATGTTTTTCTGTGTGTGTAGACCCATTTCCAGGATCATTTTCCTTTTACCTGAATATTTATTATCTTATCTACTGCTAGGCTATTGGCTCAACTTTTGCATGTCTGAAAAGATCTCTCCTTTGCTGCCTTTCATTTTATGAAAAAAAATTTTTTCTGGTTATAGAAATTTAGGATAACAGGGATTTTGTTAGTTTCAGTATGTTAGAAAGGTGGCTCTAATATCTCTTACTTGCTTTGTTCCTGCTGTCATTCTTCCTTTTGCCTTCTGTACGGAGTGTGTCCTCTTGCAGCTTCTAAAAATTTTTTCTTTTGTCACTTATTTTAATCAATTTGATTATGATGTGCTATGCTATAGATTCCTGCATTTTTTGTGCCTATGTTTTGCTGAACTTCATGGATGTGTGGATTTGTAGTGTTTTATCATTAGAAAAATTTCAGCTGTTATTTTTACTGATATTTCTGTCTTTCACCATTTTTCCCCTCCCTTTGGAACTACTGCTTGATATACATTAGTCACACAGTTCGTTCATGCTTCATGCATTTTTTCAGTATTTTTTAATTTTCAGTCTTTTTTATTTTTCTCTGTGTTTCATTTTGAATGGTTTCTATTTCTTTGTCTTCAGATTTAGTAATCTTTTCTTTGGCAGTGTCTAATGAGCTATGAATCTCATCTAGGCCCTTTTTTTCAATTTCTGTTTCTGCTTATTTTTTTCCCCTTAGAATGAGTTATATTTCTTAGTTTGCATGTGTGGTAACTTTTTACCACACATGAGCGAAGGATATACTTATATTTCTTTAAAATTGTTTTCAGCTGTGTTTGAGGATCCAGTTATATTACTTGAAAATAGATTAATACTCTTAAGGCTTTTTCAATTTTGATAAGTAGGACCAGCTCAGCTGTTAGTAAGTCTAAGGCAGATTTAGCCATACAACTCCCATAACCCCTGCTGAACACACTACCTTAGGCCTTGTTTATTATTAAATCATTTCTACTCCCACTGATCACAACAAAAACAACTTTAGGCCATGTGTAAATTTAAGCCACTGTTTTGCCTATTTCTTTCCGGTGGTTTTTGACCTGTCCTTGATAATTTGCTTATATACATGTGCTGATAAATACCAGAGGAAAACCCAAGGAATCCTCTGCAGCTCCCCAGAACTTATTCACTCTCTTTCTCCACAGCCAGTTTCAGTTCCCTCTCCCTGCTCTGTGGTCTGTAAATTTTGCAGACCATAAGTGGAGCATTGGTCGGGCTCACTCTGTTCCCTTTCTTTCAAGAGTCACTGTGTAGTGCTACCTGTTGCCCCAAGTCCAAAAACATTGCTTCATGTATTTTGCTAAGGGAATTTTTTCTAGTTCTTTAATGTGGTAGGATACATGTAGTACCTGTTACCCCATTATAGCCAAGAGTGAAAGTCTTCCTGTAACACTTAAAATGCATCATGTTAATGACTAGCGTCCCTCTTCTTATTGAGATGTCAACTGCTTATCTTCTTGTTCTTCTCCTGAAAGTAAAGTCTTTTTTTTTTCTGGATGTTTATTACATATTCTTCATTTACTTTGTTGTTTGGCAGTTTTTTTCTGTGCCTAGATGTGATCTTCTGTTTATACAAAAAAGAAATGGTCTCTTGTGTATTTTTGCCTGAGTTCAGGAACCTCATTAAATCTCTGATTTGATATATTATGTAAGTTTTAGAAAATCTTTAGTCAATATCTGTTTCTTCTCCTTCTGAGATGCCAATTAATTATATGTTAACATTTTCACTGCTTTTCTGTATATCTCTTTCCTTCTATATTTTCCATTCTATTTTTTTTACTTTGTACTCATCAATTTTGATTTTGAAATAAAACTGTCTTTCCATTTCCCTAATTCTGTCTTATGTTGTGAAACTATCTATTAAATTCTTAATGTGAGACTGTGTATTTTTCAGGTTTATGGTTTCCTATTTGTTTTGTACATTCCAGTTCTCTCAGTGAAATATTCATTTTGCTAAATCTATTTTCTCACCCTTTACCTTTTTCTTGAAAATACTAATCATAGTTGTTTTAAAATTCAAGTCTTTTAACTCCAAAATCCGAGTCATCTGTGAATCTTTTTCTGTTGTCTATTTCTTCGTTTGGCATGCCTACACATTTTTGACCAAATACAAGGCATCCTAAACCTCCAGATGATTTTCTTGCCTTCCTCTCAACACAGTATATCCTTTGCTCTGTTGAGAAAATTGAGTGGAAGCTAGTTACCTTAATCTAGTGAAGCTGGATTACAGTTTGAGTAAAATCCCATTTTTTTCTAATTCGTTTCTTTTCCTGTGTCATAGTTCACTAGGGCTTTCAGTGTTGAAAGTGATATCTTCACCGGGCTCCTTTAAAATATTCTCATTTTTAGCTTTTTTAACCACCTTTAGGTCACCTCAGAATTTACCAGGTTTTTTGAAAGGAAAATTAGGCATGCATTTTAGCCCCTTTGGGTCTCCAGTTTTGTTATGTGAACCCTGCAAGACTACCAAAAGCTCTGCTGGTTTATCTGTCCCTAGCAGCAGTCCTCTGCTGAACAAAGCCCAGATTATCCATTTTCTAATCTTCTCCCAATACCAGCAAATGCTTTCAAGAGAAAGTAGCTGCAGATCATCAGTTTACCTCTCTGTTGTCCTCTCCTTTCTGGAATCTTTGTTTTATCCCTGACTTTTACATAAATACCCTTCTGTAGTTTAACCAGCTTTCCTAGATGTTCTTAGTAGAAGGGACAGTCTACCATGAACCACTTTGTTCTGTATAGAAACAAATCCAGTGAGTTTTTAATTTCTCCTATTATAGTTATTTTTAGAAATAATATTCCTTCATTACCAAATGCACTTTTATAGGCTTTGTTTCTGTCTCGTGTTTCTAATCCCTTTTTAAATTTTCTTATATACCTTAAACTTATTCTGTATATACCTGATAATTTTAATATCTCAATTATTTGTGCTCTAATGTTCCTGTTTATTTTTCCTGCTGTATCTATGTTGCTTCATTACCTATGATGTTTGGTGATTTGTGAATGTGAGCTTTTATTTCTTACAGTTACTCATTGTGGATCTTTTTAAGGCATAGGTTAATGGTGGGTTTCTCCATAGAGGCTTCACATTTGCTTTTTCCAGTTATTTGGAAGCATGTATAGGCATTGGATCACTTTTAAATCTTAATTTGAACTTTATTGATTCACTTAAGTAATGTTAATGTTGCTTGAACAACCACTTGAGGACTGACTTGTTATAAAATGTGTAGGGGAAATATTCTTTTGGCTTCTACTCAGCCTGAATTCAAGATTTCTGTTCTTGGGTAGGTCCTGAGCAGGTCCTGGGCTTTGTCTCCTATCCCCTCCTGCCTTAGAAGTCCATGGAAACCAAGCTCAGCTTTACCCCTATCATAAGGCAAATAAATGTTATGAAGGTTAAAAAATGTCTTTTGTGTTACTTACCACTGAGGGTTTCCAGTTTTACTTAGATTTGGCCCTGTGAATATTCCTTAGTTTTACTTAGATTTGGCCCTCTGAATACTCCTTACTGAGGGCCATATATTGATGCACTTGAAAAGACGTTTGTCATTTTCTATCCAACAATTTTAGTTTCTTGCTATAGGAAGTGCTAGGTGCAGCACAGCAGGAAACAGAATTGTAGTCATGGATCAAATGTTATTAACTTATATGGCTGGGGAGAAAATTGTACTGCTAGTAAAATGTTCTGAATTTAGTATCACTTGTATACATGAGCAAAATGACCAGAAAATAAATTTACCTTACAAGAACCATAAATGCAGTTCTTTGCCCCCTCCAGTAACTACAAAAAGTTTTTTTATTATTAAAAAAGAGAAAATGATTGAATAATCCAAATTAGCCTGGGCAAGAAAACTAACAGCAGCCTAAAATGAAATGTTTGAGTTATGAGCCA